TTGAACTGCCAGCCTTCTGGTTAGCAGTCAAGTGCTTTTAGCCACTATGCTACCAGAGCTCCTGAAGAAAAGATTGAAGTTGTCAAAAATTTACTTTTACATGCATCCACAATCAATATTCATGGAAGCAGCAGTCAGGAAATCAGATGTCATGCTGACTGGCAAAATCTGCAAAAGGCCTCTTAAAGTCTTAAGGAGCAAAGATGTCACTTTGAAGACTAAGGCATGCCTAACCCAAACCATGGTATTTTCAATCACCTCATACGCATGTGAAAGCTGGACAATGAATAAGGAAGACTGAAGAAGAATTGATACACTTGAATTGTGGTGCTGGCAACAAATACTGAAAATACCATGGACTACAAGAAAATGAAATTTGTCCTTAGTCTCACCTACTTGGTCATGTTGTCAGAAAGGACCGGTTCCTGAAGAAGGATATCATGCTTGGTAGGAGGGTCAGAGAAAAAAGCGAAGACCCTCAAAGAGATGAATTGACACAGTGGTACAGTGATGACCTCAAACATAGCAAGGATTGTGAGGCTGGTACAGAACTGGGTAATGGTTCGTTCTGCTTTACATGGGGTCACTATGAGTCAGTGCTGACTCAATGGTACGTAACAACAACAACACACTTGAGGAAAATAATACACCCTGCCAATCTTATATATGTTGTTGGACTCTAACTCTCACTGCCTTCAAGTTGGATCTGACTCATAGTGACCTCTCCTTGGGTTTCCAAGGCAGTATCTCTAAGGAAGTAGATTGCCCAACCTTCCTTCCGAGGAGTGGCTGGTGGGTTTGAATCCCCAGTCTTCTGGTTAGCAGTCAAATGGTATCAGAAGATAGTAATATTGTATATCTGGAAGCACTCTTAAAATTCTGGGAGATAATGTAATGGCTACTAACATAAAACGTTGGAGTATGAGTTCTTAGGTGCAAATCCTGGCATAACCACTGCTAGCTGTGTGACCTTATTTAGTTTACTTAGTCATTCTGTGCCTAAATCTTCCCTGTTTGTGTAATAGATATAATAATAATGTCTACTTCACAGGTTCTGAAATGAGCAAGTATGTAAAGCACCCAGCTTAGTGCCTGACACAGATTGCAGATACCACTTTTATACCCAAAATGGTATAAATGTCCAAAGAAGTTAAGTGTTCAACATCTTGTTCATGAAATTGCTGAGAGTAAAGTCAGGTCTACTGAGTCCAGAATCAATGCTTTCTTTGTAACTCAGTCAGTCTGCAGTGCAGTGTATTGCTTAATATGGCCCATATAGTCATCGTCCTCCATTGTGTGATGTATTGTAAATCCCAGTCTCTGTGCTTGTTTAGGGTGGGATGTATCTTCTGTCCCATCTTGTCTGAGGGTGTGACTCAAGTCACCACCCAAAGCTTCCTTGAGGGTACACATGTGAAAGTTCTGGGGAGCTCCCTCTCTTGCTCTGGTCCTACGTTTCATTCCTCATCATCTCACCCCTAAACTCAAGACAGCAGCCAGTCATCTGACACACCGATTTGGGGTCCCCAGCCCCTGCAACCACATGAGTTGGGGGAATTCTCCAGACCTACCCACAGACTTGGGATTTGCCAGTCTGCCAGCTTGCCAGCCTGCCAGCTTCCACCACCACCACCAAGCTGCTTCCTTGGGAGTTTGTGAGTTCTGTGAGATGTTACAGTGAAATACAGAACCTTAGAACCTTAAGACAGGAAGGAGATTACTGAGAGGAAAGAAGGAGTTCATATCAGAGATGATATTATTGTGGCACAGCAGTTTGGAAAAGTTGGACGTTTGGGACATCTTTAACCTCTGCCTCATCGGGACCAGTCTTGTGCTAATCCTTCTAAAAAAATTATTCAAGCACAGTCTGAGTGATTTCATTTTCTACATCTAGAGAGAGACGGCCCGGCTACCTGGTGGGGAGCGGCCGGTAGGTTTGAACCGCCAGCCTTGGGTGTGGCAGCTGACTGCCCGAGGCCCTGAGGCCATCCCCAGGGCCTCTGGTAGCATAGTGCCTAAGGCACTTGACTCCTAACCAGAAGGAGGGGTCACTATGAGTCGGGGGCGACTCGATGGCAAATAACAACAACAACAACAACATCTAGAAAGCGAGACTTGGAAAAGTGAAGGATCACACCTAAAGTTGAGTGGCCAGTTAGCTGCTCAGCTGAAACCCAGACCAGAGGTCTTTAAAGGACACACGTTTGAAAAAGAGCTGGGGATGGAGGGGTTGCAGGGGGGAGGATGACAGATGAGGCTCTGGCTCTGGAAGAGCAGCGATGTGCCAGCTCCATCCCCTTCTTAGAAACTAGGGACTTAGAGAGCCATGTAAGTAACGTTTAAACAATATCTTCTAAGACTCTCCCTGATGGACTGGAGTCAATACCAAAATGGATGGTTTTTGAAACAGGCATTGGAATTTGGATGGAACATGAGGAAGCTGATACTTCGGAGTGCAGACTTTTGCCACGTGCTTTATGTACATTCTCTCCTCTGATAGGACAGCAATTTGGAAGTGCCTAAGTCATTTGACTGCTAACCAGAAGGTTGGTGGTTCAAATCCACCAGCCACTCCTCAGGAGGAAGACAGGGCAATGTACTTTCATCAAGATAAACAACAACAACAACAAAAAAAAAAACCCTCGCTGCCATCCAGTCAAATCTGATTCATAGTGACCCCTCCTTGGGTTTCCAAGCAGGTATCTCTGTGGAAGTAGATTGCCCAGTCTTCCTTCCAAGGAGTGGCTGGTGGGTTTGAAATGCCAGCCCTCTGGTTAGCAGTCAAATGCCTTAGGCACTACGCCACCAGAGCTCCTTCCAATGAGATACCACCTCAGAAACCCAAGGAAGGGTCGCTATGAGTCAAATTGACTTGACAGCAGTGAGTTTTGAGTTTTTCTATTGCTGTGTACATTAAAGAAAAAACACAGAGGAACTCTCACTGACTAGGTAACTAGCCTCCAATAACCCTAGGTAGTACCTGTAACACTGATACACAAACATGCGGGCTTTATGCGGGCCTGTCTGATCCCAAAGTCCACGCTCTTTTCTCGGTAAGATGTTACTTTTCTATGTGACCAGAGAAATTATTCCAGCCTCTTCATGTTACAAGGAGTCCTGGTGGTACAATGGTGAAGCATTTGGCAGCTAACTGCAAGACTGGCAGTTTGAACCCCCCAGCAGCTCCGTGGGAGACAGACCTGGTGATCTGTTCCTGTCACGATTAGAGTCTAAAAATCCCTGTGGGTAGTTCTACTCTGTCACATGAAGTCACTAGGAGTTGAAATCGACCCCATAGCACCTAATAACAATCTCATGCTACAAATAAGGAAAGGTGAGCCCCCAGTTGATACAGAGACCTGGTGATTTCTGAAGAGATCCTAGATATGATAAAGTAGGAAACAGAAGAAAGCAAACTGCCAAGAAACTAATCACCAATCAGTCTACCTAACCACACAGCCACACACACATGCATCCAAATGCTGAATTCCTTTGTCTGGACAGCTCAGAGCTGGGGCAGAGGGAGTGTGAGGAAGGACAACAAAGCATGGTATCTTCTCTTTCAGAATGCAGCATGCATTGTACATATGTGTGTTGTGTGTGTGTGTGTGTACATATGTATGTATGTAGGAGCTCTGGTAGCATAGTGCCTAAGGCACTTGACTGCTAACCAGAAGGCTGGCGGTTCAATCCCACCAGCCACTCCTCAGAAGGAAGATGGGGCAATCTACTTCCGTAGTGATACTGCCTCAGAAACCCAAGGAGGGGTTGTTGCTATGAGTCGGGTCCGACTTGACGGCACATAACAACAACAACAACAACAGCTTTGTATGTATATATGAAATTCAAGAGATGCCTAAGGCAGTAGGTAATTAATCACTTAATCACTACATAAATGGTATACACAGAAATCTGTGTAATAGGATAATTTAGAATCTATTCATAAAGTACATTTAAGCTTCTCTTCAATGTGATTCACAAGGCAAAAGGAGCTAGGTGGAGAACAAGGAGAAAAAGAGACTAAGGCAATAGTTCTTCAAGTGTGATTCCAGGACCAGCAGTGTCAGTATCACCTAAGACTCGCAGCACCAGCATCACCTGGGGCTTGTTACAAATGCCACTCTTCACTCCCAAACCAAGACCTACCGAGTCAGAAACTCGGAGAGGCCCAGTGTTTTAACAAGCCCACCAGATCATTCTAACGCCTGCTCTAGTTGGAGACCACCGGACAAAGATAGTGATCTTCAGTCTTGGTTGTACATTGCAATTATCTGGGGAGCTTTAAAATTTTCTGCTGTCTGGGTCCTACCCTCAGAGATTCTGCTGCAACTGGTTGCCATCTAAGCATCAGGAGCTTTCAAAACTTCCCAGGAGATTCTAATATGAAGAACCACTGGAGTAAAGAGAGCAGAGCCAAGAAATGGCTTGTGGTCCATCTTAATCCTCAGCATCTCTGAATATATTTATATGGACTAAACACTAAAAGATGGAGCCAGCATCTTCTGGAATGATAATTATTTAACTGTGACATTACAAGAGATCATTTCAGCTGCTAAGTCTGACCAGGAAATGTCTCTCAGATTTGGTAAACTAATAATAAATATGTACTGTATATATTAAAGATTAATGTAATAAACTCTCTAAACAAATTGTAGGCACATAAAATAGGCCAAGTATGTAGCTGAGGAAAACTGTCTAGCACTTTACAGGTTAAAAAGCAATCTGAGACACAATGTCATGACTAACATTGGAATACAAATATTTTGTGACTGGACAATTACCTAGAAGTTATTTGGATTTTTTCCAAAATAAACGTCAGTTATTCGAATTGTCAAGTACTGAATAATACAAAAGCAGAGGAGTTATCAGGTTAGGCTGGCTTTATTTTCATTTATTTGGACTTCTGTGCTAACTTTAAGGAGCTTTGATGGCATAGGGCCTAAGGCATTTGACTGCTAACCAGGAGGTTGGCAGTTCAAAGCCTCCAGCCACTCTGTGGATGGAAGATGGGGCAATCTACTTCTGTAAAGATTTACTGGTTAGAAACCCAATTGGGGTCATTATAAGTCAGAATTGACTTGATAGCAGTGAGTTGGGTTTTTTTGTTTTGTGCTAACTTTAATTCATTGGCCAAATTTGGGTATTTATTCTTGGCTCAATGGTTAAGCACTCAGCTGCTAATGAAAAGGTCACTGGCCTGAACCTACCAGCTGCTCCAAAGAGAAAGACCTGGTGACCTGCTCCTGTGAAGATGACAGCCTAGGAAACAGTATGGGGCAGTTCTACTCTGCCATATGGGGTTGCTATGCCTCAGTGACAGACAACAACAACATGCTTGGTTCATAGGCTTTTGTGATTTTTCTTTAACTAAATAACCTAATTAAAGCAAGCATAAATGCCACATTCATGTCAGGAAGGTATTACAGTTATTTTCATGAGTTAATATGAATGAGTTTTATTAAATTATTCATTTACAAAACTACAAATCACTGGGCAGAATATGTTTGCCATATTGATGACTTTATCTGAGGATAGTTTATTGACACAACTATCAAATAAATAAATAAATAAATAAACCCACTGCCGTCGAGTCAGATCCGCTCATATCAACTCCTCCTTGGGTTTCCGAGGCAGT